CCCCTTTTTTCTTCCTGCTCCTTAATGTTTAGCACGGTGCTCGAGACAGAGTTGGGGAAAGGGACTGGACCTGTGGTTTCATTTGCACGTGGACTTTCCAGATGAAGAACTCCCTCCACCAACGTGGTGAGCACCTTCTCGTAATTTATAGTCTTCAATGTCCAGAGCGCTGGGAGGGCTCTCCCAGGATCCCAAGTCAGTCTGTGTCAAAGGTCAGACTCAAACACAGGTTTCTTGCCTCAGAAGCCAGTTCTCTTTCCAGTATACCACACTGCCTCTTCCTGGAACACAGCAGGCATTTCATGAATGCTCGATGACTGATCTCACGCCTGACTGGTTGACTGCCAAGAACAAAGCATTTGACATACATCTCTTGGCTCAGCTGAAAGGTCGGAGGGTTGTGTGTTAGTAATAGGCCTGGTTTTGTCACTCCATCACACTTAACTGTTTTTCTTTGTTGGTGGAGAGGGAAGGTCAAGAGGATATGACTATAACACCAAACAGGCATCAATTTTTAAATAGGGGGAAAAAACTGGAAGGACACTGGTGAATCAATCAATAACAACATGTGTTAAGCACCTACCATGTGCCCGTCACCGTGCTATGGGGCTCCAAAGACTTCAGTGGAACACCCCTCCCCTCAAGGAGCTTATATCCTAACAAGGGAGAAAAGACTTCTGTCCTGGTCTACAGTTGGACAGAGGAGAGCAGACAAGATGGGGCTACCAATACATGAAACTAAACCATTACTCCCAAATAGTGATTCAATGGAAAGAATACTGAATTTGGAGTCCGAGGGCCTGGGTTCAAGTGTTGACTCCATTCCTTACTCCCAGTTCCTCCAAGCCTCTGGGTCTCAATTTCTTCCAAGGTCCCTTCTGGCTCCGAATCTGTGGTGCTGGCATGCCAAATGTTGTTGGTCTAGGCAGCCACAAAGATCCTACACCTCGGGCTGTAAGGATCTCAGAATCCATCTAATCCAACTCCATCATTTCACAACTGAGAACTACAGCCCACAGAGAGTCAAATCGTTTGCCCCTGGTCATGCAAGTGGCATGTGTTAGGGGCAGGATTCGAAGCCAGGTCCTCTGACTCTAGTCACATGCAAGGCTGTTCTTCTTCCCACCACGCTGCCCTTGTTCCATGTTTCTATGCTACCTTGGCTTTGCCTTCAGAGTTGGGTTATGGGCCACCTAAGAAAACCAATCTCCAATTGTCTGAAATAATGTCTTAGAGCTTCAGGAAAATGACTTGTTACCTACCAAAGACGTTCTTTCACTTCATCTCGTCTCGTCTTCTGGATGAAGTCCCTGCAGACGGGGAGGTCCTTCAGATGCTCCTATTTGTGGGTGATACTGTACCAAATACAGTAAGATTCAGAACCTTACAGGGCCTCCTACAGTACAATCCATGTTTACTGGAAAGAGGCTGGTCAGGCGATCCACAGAGAAAAACCAAAACGGACGAACGGCGCCTGTTGTCCGGACTACGACGTGCAGGTGGGTGGATGGGTGGGCCATTGAGTGAATACATCAGGACACAGACCTGGAAGGTCACTGAGGGTGGGCAATGAGTTGAACCCAGAATTGAAAATGAGTAAGAGGGAGCTGGATCACATTTGGAAAATAGTCTCAGGATCCCACGGGACCCCAAGCAGCACAACGGCTCCAAGATCCATCTTGTTAAACACAAACATTGTTCTGGGAATGTAGTGCATGGGTAGGTCAAGGAACACTCTAATTTCTGGAGCTCTCAAGTTGTAGACGACTGGTAAACAGTGGAGAGACTCATGATGGGTTCAAGCAGGCCGCAACACATTTTCAATGATGACCTACAAGAAGAGTTGTTAGGGTTATCATGAGGAAAACATAGGATCAGAAAAGAAGGTGGGCTAGTCGGAGCAAGGGGATGAGGGATGGCAGCCCAAATGCTACATTACTATCAACAAAATATAAAACATTCAAGGAAGATAGGCAGCGAGGTGGCATAGTGGAGAGAACAGTGGGCCTGGAGTCAGAAGACCCAAGTTCAAATCCAGCCTCAGACGTCTACTAGCTGGGTAACCTTGGCCATCACTTCACCTGGTTACCTCAGTTTCCTCAACTACAAAATGGCGATAGAAATAGCATGTATCTTCCAAGGCTGTTATGAGTGCCCGGCACAGAGTAAGCGCTATATCAATGCTAGTTATCATTATTGTTATCATTAAGGACTCCAGGACACAAAGTTAAGTCTCTTTTGTGTCTGTGTCCTTGGTGTTTAGGACCTCATGCAGTTAACATTCAATAAGTGGTTGTTAATGGATGAATCCCACAAGATGAGAACATAGTAAAACCACAATCTGCACAGATGGAGGGCACACACCAGAGAGAGCACAGATTGGTTGAATATTAGCAGAAGTATGGGATAATGCAGGAAGCAATTAGCCTTGTGTCAGTGGACCCGGGGTCAAATCCAGCCTCATCTGTTTACTGCCAAGGTGACCCTGACCTAGCAATGTCACTTCCCTGGGCCTCAGTTTCCTGCTATGGAAACAAGGAAGACTAGGTGACTGCTCTTAAGAGACGACGGTACGATCCTCCACTGTTCGCTTTCCTCCTGACTTCCCTCCTTGCACGGTCTCTTGGCCAAGTTCTATTGCTCTGCTCAGGCTCTCACCCAGCAGAGCCAGGCCAGGAGGGAACGGGTGACCACCCAGCTACATGAAACACAGCATGGCAGAAGGGACACTCTTTCAATCTATAAATTCACTTGGGTTTAAGGCCAAAAAGCTGCAGTTCCCACTGGGAGTAGGTCCTTATTTTGTGAGGTCATTACCTGAGCTACAGTGAAGGCTTCAAGGCTCCAGGGGGCAGTAATGCACCTTCACAGACACCATGATGCTGAGAATCCAACACCAGCCCAAACTAACCAGCAGACACAAAGGCTTGCTTGAAATCATGTTTTGTGTAGAAAGAAAAAGGTTGACAAAGGTGTCAGAGGTGTATTATGGGTATAGGTCACATTATCAATAGTCACAATAAAGCAAATTTAAAGTCTTTCTTTTAAAATTTGATGAATTTGAATTATAGTTAAAAATAACAAATTACATCAATAATAGCCTGTTATTTTTTAAATTAAATGTGCTTTTTAACTATTTAAATTTAGGCAAACTAATTTCAACACATGAAATGTTGTAAGACCTCAGTCGCTTCCTCCAAATCTCCATCAGGATTCTCTGCTTGGCCATTCATTCTCATCAGCTTTTTCTATTCTACATCACAGCTGTGAGGGTCAGCGTGACGAGAGCACGGGGTGGAGGACAGTCAGCTACGCAAAGCCAACAAGACCTGGATTCAAGTCCTACCTCTGATATGGTCTGGTTGTGTGACCCTGAACAAGTCATCTACCCCCTCACTGGTAAGTTGCAGATAGTGCTGACCTGCGTGAGCAGAAGTTTCCTGATTGAGGAGTTCTCTCTGGCACCATTACTCCCCCTCCTTGGTCAAAATTTGTATGTGCTCTAATTTTTGCTGTACGCTATTTCCCAATGATGTTAAAGCTTTCTAAAAAACATTCTTCCAATTTGTCAGTTACAATTATATCAGAGTTAGTTATCACATGAAGGTACCACAAGTTATTTAAGTCATTCTCCTATCATAGCTTCCACTTTTTTGAAATTAAAAATAATGCTGCTATGAAACTCCTTTAATAGCTTTTTTACTGGTTTTGATAAGGATTAGGTTCTATTCCTAATAATGGAATTACTGGGTCAAAAAGCACAATTAATTTGTATTTTACTGTATGCTAACACCAGACTACTCACCAAGAAAAAGAAGTCACAAGTCTACAGCTTCACCAGCAACGAATGAGTGCGCCTGTCTCTTCATAACCTCATTAACAAATTAGAGCAGTTCTGAGGTTTCACCTCCTACCCAGCAAAACAGACAGAAACGAACCAGCACCACCCCAACCCCAGCATGTGGAAACAAGCACACATACACCAATGGTACAGCCGCAGAAGCGACTAGCCTGTTCACCGTTTGGCCCAAGAATCCTGTCACAGGACATACACCCCAGAGATCAAAGTCAGAAACAAAGATCCAATGTGTACAAGAAAATGTACGATCCCGCTTTGTCTAGTGACAGAGAAATGTAAACAAAGGGGAGGCCCATCGATCAGGGAAAGGCTGAAGAAACTACCAGGGGAATGTCATGGAAAATCACTCCTGGAATCACAGATTTAGAGCTGGAAGGGACCTCTGCCTACCAAGTCCAACCTGTTCCTTTGTACAAGTGAGAAAACTAAAGCCCAAAGGATGAAGGGATCCACTCAAGGTCTGGACCCACTAAGTGTCCAAGGTACGATTTAATCTCGGGTCTTCCCAACTCCAAGCAGCCAAATACCCTTACTGTACCACAAGAAATCACAGAAATAAGAGTAAGTCAAAAAACAAGCAAACCCTTAGTTCCCTTAGTAACTGAAACACTAAGAACGGTCCTGAAAAATAAACAAGGAAGCCTATCACCTTCTTCCTGGCAAAGAGATGGGATTCTGCAAGCAAGATGTTGCATGTGCTGCAGATATAATCATTAAATCAGTCACCTTCGCTTAACTGTTCTTCTTTGTCATAAGGTAAAGTTCAACATTGGCAGGGGAGAGGACAGAGAGGTCTCCATAAATGATATGTACAAAAAGCAGATAATGTTTTTTCAAAGAATATGATATTCAGTACATATTTTTGCTTATAGAGGGTACTCATTATTTTTAAAAGAATTTCAACTTAGAAACACAGAAAACCAAAGATGAAAAATGCCAGAGAGGCAATAAAATAAATACGCAGAATGAAACAAATATTTTTGCAAATAGTCAATATGGGGATTTGTTTTGCTTGGCTATTCATATCTGTTATAAGGATTTTGTTTTCCTTTCTTGGGGGAGGGAGGGAGTAAAAAAAAAAACCAAATAACTGATCACTGAAAATAATTTTTTTTAAAGAAACACAAATACTGAGTTTTATACAGTAAATAAAACTTTATTTTTTTTCTCTGTTCATCCTAGATTGACATTGCCAACAGTCACAGATCAGCATATGATACAGTTATGTATTAACTATTTACAATTTACAGTATTTTTTTCCTGGAAAATGTAAGTACAAAAGCGAAGTAAACAAATGAGGTACTGCCATTTGGATTCATCAGAAGCAAAAGCTTAAAGAACTAGTCTTTAGCAAAAAAGAAAAAAATCAACAAATCAAATCTGGATAATATAGTCAAATTCCTCTAATTCATCAGGAAAAAAATCTATCAAATTCCACCTCAAAATGTATTGCACAAGTCATTTTAACTAAAACAGAACCCCCCCCCCCAAAAAAACCCCAAATCACCCTAAAATAAATAAATCGAAGAGGCAAACCATCGAGTTCAAATCTTAAAAGGAGGGAGGAAAAAGGGATGAGAGAAGCACAGGCGGGCTCATCTCGGATTCATTCGTTCATTAGTCAGCCCCTCTAAAAGTGCCACCACCCAGCTGAAGGGAGGAATGAGCTGTCCCCACGTCACCCTTCCCAAGGCAGCTCTAGCTGTCTTCATGATCCAGTGTCATCTAGCTGCCTCTGCACGGCCTCTCTCTAGGGACCTGAAAAGCAGCTTGTCATCCGTCCGTCACGCCTTTTCTCAAAGAAAAACAGACGTGAACAGTTTTTTAAGCAGCACAATCAAGGAACATTCTTCATCCCAATTTCTTCAAGATGACAATCGTAGCCATGACTGGAAAAGGATAAAAAGCAAGAAGTAAAATTTTCTGTTAACTTTTGGGACTAAAAAAGAACAAAACATTTTCTAACATCAAATTGTGATATAAGGTCTAGTAATTAGCCTAAAGGTCTAGAAAGATTTCAAAGTTAAATCCCACGAATCTTTCAATATTTCTCTAACTCTACAACCTTCCAAAACTATTTGTTACCTTTTTGGGGAAAAAAAATGGATGATGAAAAATGGAAACCAAACTCTGTTAAACAGAAAGGCATCAAAACTATTTACTTCTTCTAGCTCCATCATCCCAAAAGATGCTTAATAACGTACCTGTGACAAGCAAAAAGCCCTTATTTTCCCTAGCAAAAGGCCACCAAATCTTTACAATGGCCTTTTCCATTAAATACTGCTTGGTAATACAACACTTCAGAGTTTGAAAAGTTAAATTTTTTTTGAAACTAGTGGTTTAGTTTTTAAACCCTTGTGGCCCTCACAAGGCTTCTCAGATTAAAACTATCAAGGAAGTGGATTAGCCAGATAAATTTCTAGGCTTAAAAAGCCATTGTAGATAAACAACCAAATGAGATTAAGAAAGCAAAGGGAAGCTTCAAAGGCACCAATCCCAACTATCCATCCCCCTCTCCCACCAACACTGTACATAATGTAAAATTTAACAGAAGAGGTAATAATGAAAGAGCTTGTGAAATAACAAAAGAAATGAGCTGATTTTCTAAATCGATTTGCAAAATGAAAAACAGATCCCATACATATAACAATTAGCCTTTTACAAATTACAACTGTACATTCATTATGAAGTTGGTTTATCGATCATAGTGCTGTTAGATTAGAAACACTGACCTATCTTCTCTGTCAATATAAACTGCTCTGACAAAGCTTGCGACAGCGAGTTTGGATTTTTAAAGCCATCGATGTGTTCCGATAAAACTACCTGAAGGAACCCTCTCAAGCTCTTCACGTTACCTATGACTTGCATACACTTTGTACTTCGTCCCACCCCAGAAGAACGGAAGTTCTGGAGGGAGGGGGCTGTCCTAGGGTTTGCCTTTGCATCCCCAGTGCTTAGCAAACTGCCTTCTATGTGATAGGAGCTTAAGAAAAAAACTGTTGAATTAAATTACCAAATTACCGTATTCAAATCACAGAAAATTACAAATGTGAACTGCCCTAAGTTAGTGTCTACAAATGAACAGATTTAATTTTTTTTTTAATATTAGAACCTTGTGGGCTATTCACAGGCTATTAAAACTGTTTTAAAGAAATGCTCAATAAACAGGAATGATATACATTAAATATAAGAGGGCCAAACATAATCACAGGTATCTTTAAATCAAAAAAGTCTGAAAATGAAAATGTTATGAAAAGTCTCCAGGATCAAGGTAATAGTTGTAACTATAAATAAACTTCACTCACTGATTAGCCCATTAATTCAGACGTTTGTGAAAATTCACACACAGACCAAGCTGAATTTTTCAGGGAGGTGTCAAGGACTTCAATAGAATGAACAAAGTTATAAAGGGAATTTTTAGATAAATATAAGAGAACCCACTGGGCTAATTATTAAAACATTAAGATAGGTTCTGTGAGGTCTCTGATTGGGCAGAATTTGAAGCACATTTCATGTTATTAAAGGTAAAAAGAAAATCATTCTCAACATTTCCTCTAATTCAGAACTGTCTTCTGCCACTCTGGGCACTTTTATCATGTTAAATTTCAGATCTGTGACATTTATAACATTAATACTCATCCGCCATTTCGTTTGCATTTTTCTCTCTTACTATTTGGTTGTTGTTGCTGTCATCTTTGGAGGAAGGCTAGAGGGCAAGTGGGCTAGACATTTTTTTACTCCTGTCCTAAAGGTTTCCAAGAGCAATTTAAAATGTCTGATGAGTACTGGAAGTGTTAATTGTTTCATAAATCACATCAATTTAACCAATGCAAATGCAGACCTAAAATTAATCGGTCTTTCTTAAGATCAGCTCATGAGGAAAGGTTTTCATTAGAGAGGAGCAGAAAGGGTTAATTTCATGCAGGCCATTCGATTTTGGGTAAAAGATACAGCGTAGATTATTATTCACTCACCCACATGCTAACTAAGCACAGACTGACGGCTTATTCAGAAGATACCACTGCGAGCTGAAGCAAACTACAAAGTCAGGAAGAAAAAAGCTCATTGAACGACTTTTTAAGAATGAACAATAAAACACAGCTGATGTGTATACACAAGGCTAACAGACTGAAATAAAATTCTACTTAACTTTTTCTTCCACAATAAGGGAGTTAAGGCCAATTATGAAAGATTTAAAGTTCCCTATGGCTTTCCCATGCTCGGCACATGCATCACTTTATCTTTAAAATTGCACAAAAAGTTTAAAATGGTGATAATGAATGTCTATCCAAGAGAAGATGGTATAACTCATTGTAAGCAAACCCCATATACAAAAACCCAGAATTACAAAACAAATTGGATGATTGCTTGCTATGCAAAAAAAATTACCCTCTAAGAGTTTTTTTCATAGAAACACCTCCAGTATATTTAAAATATGATTTGATTTACAAAACATAAAACTGCAAAAGCTCAATTTAATTACAACTCTTTTTAGGAAGACCACAGTTTTATAAATTAAAATACATCTATATTTTGAAACCTCAATGCCACACAAGTCACATTTAAATTACTACTGGATGAATGTCTTGTATTTAGAGATAAGACAAATAAAACAAGATGAGGTTTTGTCTGAAATGGTTACCAGAATTAAAATTTCAGTTTAATCTCTTCATTTAAACCCTCAGAGTTAAAGAAACAGGCCCAGATCACAATTCAGTGCTGTATTAAAGCAAATTTGTCTGAATGCAATGCATGTGCCGCATATATGGGGAAGTATCCTAAGTACCATGTAATTTTACACTTCCGAGTTTGTTTAAGAAGAAACAGAAACTGTTAATAAAAGCTGAATCCAAGAACTGAAGAGTCAGTTCAATTCCAAAAGCTTCATTCTATATACATTCAAATTCAATGGGAGAGGGGCAGCTAGGTGGCGCAGTGGATAGAGCACCGGCCCTGAAGTCAAGAAAACCCGAGTTCAAATCCAGCCTCAGACCAAACACTTGACACGTACTAGCTGTGTGACCTTGGTCAAGTCACTTAACCCCGATTGCCTCACCAAAAAATAAAATAAAATAAGCAAAATAAACAAATTCAATGGGAGAATGTGGGATGCTCTCAAAGCCTCTGATTTAGTGACATGTAGTAGCATTGAAAATACTTATTTTCCTAATCTACTGTCCATGGGCCTAGGCTTCAATTCCCCAGCAGGAAAAAAGGCTGATCCAATCCATTAGGGATCTTTCTATGCAAAAAGGGGCATATCCAACTATCCTGAAAACCCCATTCCGAAGGTTCTACTAAAGGGAAGGTGCTTCTGTACAAGAAAAGAGAGAAAGAGGATGAAGACCAGTTGTAACTTTTTTAAGCCTTAAGAGTCTGAAAGTTAGAAATAAAAGTGGATGATTATTTGTACACAACAAGAAATAGTCTACTTAGAAGACTACCAACCAACAAGGTAAGTAAGGAAATTATGAAGCAAGCTAAATCTCTGCTCCGTTAATTTAGGCTTTCCTAACAGGCCTGGACAACGAAAAATGACAGAGGTCGGATTTTCATTAAATAAAGGTAAATTCTGGCCACCCAAGTAAAAGTGAATTTCAATAAATGCTATTTTATGGCAGCTAGACAAATGGACCTGGATGCTAAAAGACCTGAGTTTGAATCCATTCTCTGACACTTACTAGCTGGGTGAGCCCACGCAAGTCACTTCACCTCTAACTCCGTTTCCTCATCCGTAAACTGATGATGCCAAAGGCATCTGCCTCCCAGAGGTGTTGTGAGGATCAAATGAGATCATATTTTAAAGTTCTATACAAATGCTAGCTATTGTTATGACTATTAGCTAGTATATTAACAAAGGACTTTGTATACACAGAGAGAATGTGGTATGGGGGCAAAACGCTAGAATTCAGGGGCAGCTAGATGGCGCAGTGGCTAGAGCACCGACACTGAAGTCAGGAGGACCCCAGTTCAATTCTGGCCTCAGACCAAACACCTGACACTCACTGGCTGTGTGACCCTGGGCAAGTCACTTAACCCCAGTTGCCTTAAAGGAAAAAAAAAAAAAAAAAAACTGCTAGAATTCCAGCCTGGGCTCTGATCCCAACTGGAAAAATTAGTGACTAGACGTGAGCTGCAGTATCCTCATCTTTAAAATACGGACCTACACGATAAGGTGACTGTAAAGAACAATTCTGATCATAACAGTTTATAAGGATTAAGCTTGTTGGTACATATTTGGGTGTTCTAAAGATATGGGGAAAATGTTATACCTGCTTAACATTGCTTGAACATATTGCTCCTTTTTCTTTACCTTGACTAGAGGAAGGGGACTATGAGCAGTGAATTAGGAATTGATTCTTAATCTCTCACCTGATGAGTGAAGCATCCAACAAGCCAGTGACCAACTAACCAAGGGAGGCTGGCCTGGGGTTCAAAAACTTAGCTATGTCAGTCTCATGCCTGGGAGAGGAAAGTCTTCTGAGAACAACTGTCATTCTCATGTGGGGCCAGAGCTCAGTCCAGTGTCTGCAGATGGCCCTCCAGGACCCACACAAACCATGGTGGGCTAAGGATTCAACCCAAGGATTCTCAGTGGACTACAGCAGTTTAGTAGGTGAGAAACATTTAGCTTTTTTGTAAGGTAGATTTCTTATCTTCTTTGTGAATAAACCTTGGGAAACCAAATTTATGGTCTGAAACATGCAGCAGAGGGATCAAAGTAGCAGTGGATTAAGAGCCAACAATCTCTTAATCCAAGAAGTCTAGTTTGTAAAAGTGACCAATTTTCAGAAATTCACAGAATCTCAAAAGTCGGAAGGGAGCACAGAGGATAATCAATCTGAGTAGCTCAATACCTGTAGCCAGGGTTTAGAGATTATAGGTTGTTAAATTACAGTACAAAGGAATCCCTTAACCGAGGGGCAGTAGTATCTGGGGACTGGCGAGAACGGATGATGGTGGTAATGAGGACAAAAATAGACATTTATATAGCATTTAAGACACAAATCCCTCCCTCCCTCTCTCTCTCTCTCCCTCTCTCATTCTCTCTCTCTCTCCGTCAGCAGCGACTCTTTCCTCCAGGGCAGGGGTCTTCTGGTTCCCTGCAATGATGGGCTCCTGGCCAGGGTACTGTGTACAAAGCTCGTAAAGTTTAGATGCTTTGACATATATAATAAAGGTATTAGGAAACGTTAAAAGGCTATAAATGAAAACTACTGTTTTCATCGTAACAAAGCTACGTCCTAACACAATATCTCATAAAACAATGCTGTTACTTCCTATGACATGTTTTTGCTGGCCCCCAAGGAAGTACCAGCTCCCATGGCACTAGAGGAGTGAGGCCACCAGCAAGCTGCAGGCCAAGTGCCCCCCGGAGGCAGGATGTGCACTGGGAAATCTGCTTCTTCTAGCTGCTAGATGGGGGAGGGGGAACAGAAAACAAGACTAAATTTAGACAAAGAAAGGGTCTAGGAGGAGTTTTCAAAGTAGATGATGAAATCATTTTTTGTGAAAAATGAGGCAGAAGCACTCCTGAACTCTTTGGCCTTTCTTGGGAGGACAGTACATCCCCAAACGCTGTCCTGGTCTAACCAAACACAAGGGAAAACGTAAGCCCCAACTCTCAAGGCCAAGATGGCAAAAGCAGCAAAGCATGAAAGCCAGGAAAGCACCCAATCAAAATGAAGGAAGATGCAGGAATGAGAGAAGGGAAGGGACATCTTCTCCACAACGACTCCAAAGATGTGTGGTCTTGGGAAGGACACAGATGGGACCTGCAGGCCCAGGGCAGCTCTCTGTCATCAGATGTCAGGGATGCCTCAGGGAAAGCAAAGTCTCCAGGCTCAGAACTCCCAAACCTCACGCTAAACTCCAAAAACAGTTCAGCAAGGACTGGGATAAGAGAATTCCTTTCCATCTCTTTTCGTATACATATTTTATGTACAGTGCTTGTCAGGGAAGGGAATGAGCACTCATGAAGGACCTACTATGTGCCAGGCATTGTGCTAAGTCAGCACTTTACAATTCTTACCTCAGTTATTCTTACAACCACCCTTGGAACCAGGTGACATTATTCTCCCCATTTTACAGATGTGGCAACTGAGGCAGATAGCAGGGAAGTGACTTGCCCAGAGTCATACAGCTAACAGGTGTCTGAGGTCAGATCTGCATTCAAGCCTTCCTGATACCCACTGCACCACCTGGCTGCTTATCAGTACCCACGTATAAAAAATTTGGTCAGAAAGACAGGTTTGTAATGTGAACCAGTACACACAAGACTGACCAAGTCCAAGATCTCCAGGTTTGCAAAGTGGGCTCCAGACAAAACTGGTGAGCAGGACTGACTGCCACTGCTTTCCGCCATCAGGGGAAGCCACTATCAGTGAGGAGACCCAGACTCAAATGCTATTCTTCCCCTCAGCAGCCATATGAGCTGACTACCTCTGAGGCTCAGTTTCCTTCTTTGTTAAGATGGTAAGAATAATGCTTGTACTATCAACCTCACAGGGATCGAAAGAGCTAATAGTGTTGATAGTGCCATGGAAATATCAACTAAAGAGGCATGACAGAGAAGAGAGAGCACCTGAGACCTGGGTTCAAATCCCTCCTTAGACATGTGACCAGACACAATCCTCGTCCTCTGAGAACCTCATCTCATCTACAGGATGGAGCTCCCAGCACTTAAGCTGCCGGGTGTCAGCCACGCTGTGACGTGCTGACGGGCAAGGCTCATGGGTGGGGGGCTGGAGCCACTTCAAACTCCAGCTGATTGCTACATTTTCCATGAGGGCATTTACACCTTGGTATTCAGCAAACATTACAAATTAGGTCATGATTTACTGTTTTGATTTTTAGATTTAATAAAGTGGCAGAGGAAATGCTAATACTTCAAATTAAATCTAAAAATGTGTCCAGAGGGCCAGCTGTTAAACAATTACC